TGGATGAATGATGGATGGATGAATGATGGATGGATGGATGATGGATGTTTCTGTGTTCAACATCTCCTAACATCAGTATCCAGCTGCTGAGAGTAAATCCTTGTTCCAGATGTTTCTCGGGTAAACAGCTGACTTCTTCCCCTCCATCTTTATTTCCGGGACAGCTGTGGTCCTGCCGCTGTGACATCACTAAACTAAAATGGTGCTTTTTGGAGTAGTAGTAGCTGAGGATGGTCCCACACACTCCCTGAGGGCCCCTCCCGGTCTGACCCGGACTGTCCTCCTCAGAAGGTCACGGTCTGGCTCTGAGGGCGGCGGGCGACACGCAGCTGGAGCAGACTGCGGTGGTCCTCCTCTGGCTGCAGCTGATTGGTCCGCACACAGCCCGTCATCCTCCAGACGAGCTGCTGCGGGACTGCGGTCCGCTCGGTTCGGACCCATCGGGTGAGCACCAGGACCACCAGGATCAGGATCTGGGTCCTGCTTCCTTCGGGCTGCAGGCGCTCACATGGATCAGCTGTAGTCCGGGCTGCAGGAGCACCTGACTCCTCCTCTCCTCCTCCTCTCCTCCTCCGCTCCATCATGGCTCCGTGGCGCTGCTCAGACGCTGCGCGCTGAGGCAGCGGGGCGCCGCAGAGGAGCTGTCCGTGCGCAGACGCGCGTGCTGTGTGTGAGGGCAGCATGGCCGCCGGGAGGCTGCTGCTCTACGCCGGCCTGTCTCTGTCGCTCTGGGCCCTGGGCATGCTGGCGGTGGCCATGTGTTCCGACCACTGGTACGAGACCGACGCCAGGCGGTACCGGGAGCGCTGCCGGAGCTTCTCCAGCCGCCGCAAGGACCCCGGCTTCATCTACATCCCCAACAACAGCCTGCCGCTGCGGGCCAGCCGAACCGGGCCGGACAGGCTGCTGCTGAACCGCCGGCAGCTGTTCGCCATGAGCGCCGCGGATGAATGCAGCCGGAAGTTCAACTCCACCAACATGGGCCTGTGGAGGCGCTGCCACCGGCCAGACTTCGACCAGCTCATCGAGGACCTCATCCGGAAAGGTGAGTCCAGAACCGGCTCCTAGTGCTGCGTGTGTCTCGTTAGACTGGACCGAGGCTGGTACTGACAGACCACCGGACCAAAGAGCGATCAACAAGGGAATCGAACTGTGATCCCCACTGTGCTGCCAGAACCGAGAGCAGGACTGACTGAAATGAAGGACTGGTGAGATGATCTGACTGTGGTGAGATGGACTGACTGGTGAGATGGACTGACTGGTGAGATGGACTGACTG